CCAAAATCTTCTTCTCCGAGGAATATTTCGCTCGATGGCCACTCCGAAACCTTTCTGAGCGCTTCCGGTTTATTTCTCGAGTAAAATTTTCCTCGGAGAAAAAAGAAAACAGAATTTGCCGAATTTCTGAAAATAATTGTATGGACTTGAAAACGCGGGGCTGGCTTCACAGGGGTCTAAAGTTGGCGCAATCGAACGAGCGTTTCGCGATGCGACGCGCGGACGCGACTATAAATTCCGGGATGGTGATTAGAAAGTTTTCAGCGTATTCCGCGCGCGGACGAGCGCGGCGAGGAGCGCGCCCCGTGAAACCAAGCGCGAATTGCCGCGGCAATTTCTCTATTCTGGATTACATTACCATTCGCACCGTGAACGTGACTTCGCCGGGTCCCGCGATTGCTAAATCACCGCGCGGCTCCCACCCCGCCGACGTGTTTCCCTCTCGCGCGAGGAGAGGATCCCCCTGGGGCGGGCGGTAAAGCCGCGCGTACGCTCGAGCGAGCGGTGCGAAACGGGACGGCGAAAAAGCGCGCGTCTCGCATGAGGAGTTAATCGGCGCGGGTTGAGGGTTCAGCCAGGAGAGAAAGTCAACGAACCAATGGCGAGCGGCGTGGCACTTGATTGACTCTGAATGGCACGTCGCTTTTATTACGCGCAATCGGTCATAATCCGTCTCTCCGTTCCTCCCGTTCCCCCCGCGCCCGGCCCCGGCCCCTGCTCGCGCTCGCGGCCGTCGTCCCACATCGCGCCGCGCGACCCGCATACCCGCCGCGGCGTGCCCCAAGCGCAATACCGAGGCACCGCACGTCGGCGCGCACCGGATAACGAGACAAGTGAAATTGTATATCCCTGCCGTTCGCCGAACGACACCGGATTGTCATTCGGTGAACGCCGCGGGTCCGCTGGCGAACGGCGGGCCCCGAGGAATACGGGATGGAACGTCGTGCGGTGTGTCGCAAGAAGACGTAACGTTTCGCGGGGGAGTCCCGCGATTACAATTCGTCCGCCCGGGTTGCAAAGCTACGTGCGCGCCGCCCCTTTTTCTCCCTCCGTTTATAGGCAACCTATAAACTTATTCCGGTGAATAGATTTTTTGTTAGGCCTCTAAACTTAATTTCAACGATACCAATGCTGTGCTCCGATTGTACACAACAGCCACGTGATTTGTATATCGCACAAATGTTTTCGCGAATCGACAGTTCTAGGTGCAAAAGGTGCCAAAAGTGGCTGTTTCGCGGCAGTAATGCTCAAAAGTTCCAAAAGTTTCTTCCAGACAGGAACCAGTACTCATTTATTACAATGATATATTGTGGTGCAATATTTTTCGAAAGAATACACTTACGATTAGTACATAATATAAAATGGATTCGGAAGATTATAGTTTGGGGCGCTGCTGCCGCGTCTCTTACACTACGCTCATGTCTACTGCATAATTCTTCCCATTTTTCAGTTTCAACTGTTTATATTGTTGAAACGGAACGGTCAATAATTTTGATTTTTTTCCCAGCTATTCGTTCTATTTTACTTTACAACATATTTGTTTCTCGTACGAATCTCACTCACCGTTAAGCTTAAAAAAAATAAAACGTTTGCAAACGCAAATATTAACATTTTAACGCATACTAATGTGTATAAATAATATTTCACGTGTAATAATACTACAACGCATTATATTGTTACGCGTAAAAATATTTTCAACGTGTTTTACACGTAATATTTCGTGTAACGTAGCAAACTTTAACGTTTTGTTTTGTTGAGAACTTTGAGACGGTTAATTTTAATTCAATTAGTCTTATTTTGCGCGTATTGATGTAAAGAATAGACTGCAAAAGTTGGAAACAGTTCTCGCTCTCGTGGCGAGATACCCTCGGCGGTTCGCCACTTTCTTCCGTGTTGGCGATCGAATAATAAGAACCGACGGACGCGCGGTCGGATCAAACCGCGGACCCTCATTAGAGCGACTCTACGCGTCGCGATCGCCACGGATAAGCGGCGTGTGTGATGTAACGCCCGGCGGTTCGGCAGCCGCGCGGTTTAGATGCGCGCGTGGCGTGACGTTACGTTTGCCGGGCACTTTTAACGAGGACTCCGCCAAGCTCTTGTGCCGCGTCGCCCTCGTTACACGCTTCTTTTTGTAAGGACGCGACGCGTCGCGCATAAAACGCGCGCGCGCGAGGCGATGACGCGAGCGTCGAGGTAAACAGAATGTGGGTTGACATTTACTTCGCGTCTCTCGATTAGCATAGTAAACCTTCTCGCAGGTCTATAATTAGATTCGCGGCTTCGCGAAGCTCCTGCTCTCCCGGCCTCGTAAAATTCTACCGTCTCGCGAGGACGCGCCGTCCTTTCCTCCTACGAGAAGCCTTGACGCGGCCTTGATCTCGCCTCAATTCGAGGAGACAAATATGTGCTGTATGGTGCACTTTTTTGTAGGTAAAATACCTACAAAAAAGTTTTTCTCAAAACGAGCGGATAGCGAAAACCGCAGGAAGCGAATCAACACGGTAATCTCCTTCGAATTGGAGAGTCTTCTCGAAGTCAAGTTCACCTTCGTCACTTATTTTGTAATTGAGGGATAAGTTTCTTCGATCCTCTCGTGAATAAAACTGAGGAATCTTGGCCGGATACATGTTACCCGGTAGCATTTCATTTTACACTCGGAAAGGTGAAACCGATAGATTTGGCAAATTATAATCAGCCTCTCGGCGAGAAATCTCACCGGGCGAGTGTCGGGAGGTGTCGTCGGCAACTCGGATGACTGACGTACCTGCCCCGAGATTTCGAATCCCGGGGAAAACAGGAAAGCAATATTTACCGTCCTTCGTTGCTTCGTTACTTGCCGGTTACACTTGATCACATTAATTTGCAACCTTCCAGTCGCTCGAGAAACGAGTTCCCCGACGGAGTTTAATCGACGAGCGCCGGCAACCGGCGCGGCGGAAGCCGTTTGTTTGATCCTCCCGGGGAAATTACTTAGTTACACGTCGAACTTCGTCCGGTAACTTCGCGAGGAGTTATTTTCGAGGCCTCTTACGCAGCGCCGGTGGCATTAATCAGGTCGGTCCCCGGTCCAGGGACGCAATCTCGCGCGACGTTAGTCACACGAGTCTTCCTCGTACTGGACATCGCTCCGAATCACTTTTCTCGGACTCCGCTTCCGTAGATGACACACGGAAAGTCCCCCCGGCGAGGGGGAAACCGCTGAGGGCATTGTGGTGCGCAGATCTGCGGCGTTGCTGGGCATTTCTGGGCATTTTTTGGACAGTATAAAGATATGAGATAAAATAAGATAATAAGAACAGGTAACTTTCAAGTAAGACCCCTATCTAAAACTAAACAATATATGGTAACACGCCAATGTCACGCCAAGTGGGTCACAAGGCAAGATGTAGGTAGCCCAACTTGCAAATCTTAAATCTTTCTGAAAATCGTGAATCTATATACCGTTTCTTTCCACATTAGTACTACGCGCCGATTTCTTTTCCGGACATGACGCAGTTTATCATATACGTGGAAATATTGTCGTCAGCAGATTCACGTATTCGATTCGATAATTATTTTTCAAATGCAATTCGCATTTTTCTGATGCTATATTTAGCATTCAGTCCCCTCCATCCATCCCCCCCTCCCATTTTCCATTGAAAATTTCCATTTGAAAAATAATTATCGAATCGAATACGCGAATCTGCTGACGACAATATTTCCACGTATATGATAAACTGCGTTATGCCCGGAAAAGAAATCGGCGCGTAGTACTAATGTGGAAAGAAACGGTATATAGATTCACGATTTTCAGAAAGATTTAAGATTTGCAAGTTGGGCTACCTACATCTTGCCTTGTGACCCACATTGGCGTGTTACCATATATTGTTAAGATAACAAGATAAAGTAATGCCCAGTGGGCATTGGTGTACAAGATTTTGATCAGCGGTCTCTTCCTCGCTTATCTTATCTTATTTTATCTTATTTATCTCGTTTGATCTTATTTTATCTTTATAATGCCCAAAAAATGCCTAGTAATGCCGCAGATCTGTACACCACAATACCCTCAGCGGTTTTTCCTTCGGTCCCCCCCGGCGAGACAGGTTCCTGGCGTTTTGTGCGAGCGCACCACGTGTCCTCGTTAACGAGAACGCTTTCACGTCCGACGAGGAATTCGGGGCGATCACGCGAACGCGTTATCTCGGCGAGATCGCGCGTGATGTTCCGCTCAGGAAGTGGCCATCAGGTGCGCGAGTCGCCCGGTCGAGGAGATCGGGACGGCTGGTAAAGATCGCTCGTCATTCGTGCCGTTTTCCTTTTTCCTCGCCGCGTTAAACGTGATGGAGAACAATTATCGCGCCCGCGCGCGCGACACCGTCTGTGTTTGCACGTTATTTGCCCGACAATTGAATGACGTGCCGTCTGGACTGCGGTATCTACATAACAACAGAGTGTAGCGATAAACATTGACTTTGGAACATGCGCGGAGGACGCGCGAAATGCAGAGTGCATAAACGTAAATTTGTATTCAGCCGTTCTTTTTGTAAACACTGTGAATCATCGTATTTCAAGTTTCTTACCGAAGATCTGCAGCTGTGCTAATTCCGCGCGTTTCAGTCCTCCTTAAAATAAATTACAGATCTAACTGCACTGATACATTACGTAAGCCGCGCAAATATTGCTTTACCTCGCAGCAGTTGCCGTGTAAAAAGAAGTCTCAATCGTAAAACGATAGTCCTCTGATCCACGTCTAAAATTCTTCGATAACTGACTTTTTTATTTCAAAAAAGGACTTGCAAGGACAATAAAAGCGTCACATTGGGGAATAACATTGTTGTTCTCGATTGGACTCCTTCGACCCTTCCAATTTTCGGGAAGCAATCTCGCAGATCGCGCGCATGACCGCATAATCATTGAGATAAAATGCGAGATACGGAAAAAAAAGCACTCGTCGTATCTCCGATTAGTCGTTAAGCGATAAGCGATGAAAAAGTGGTTGGCAGTATTGATTGAAGTAGGTGTCTTATGTCGCGCAGAGGATGCAGCAGCCCCCGATGACGTGGAGCACCTTCATGGGGCAGGTAGCGCCGCAGAGGTCCCACAGCGGGACGTTGGCGTCTCACCCGGTTGCCACCCACCTCGGTCATCCGAGCGGTCATCCACCGGGCGGGTCCACCGTCGTCGCCACCGCCGTTGCGCATCCCGTCAGCATCGCGCAGCAGCGGGAGCGCGAGGAGCAGGAACGGGAGGTGCGGGAACGCGAGCGGGAACGCCAGCACGCGGAGAGGCTGCACCAACGGCAGGTGGTCGAGGCCAGGGAGAGGGCCGAGTCCAGGGACAGGGCTGCGTACTACGCGACCTCGGCGCCGTCGGCTCAACAGGTACGCGGTCTCCGCCAAGCGCGAGAGATGTAGGAAACCGCCTATCTCGAGCCCTTGGAGTCGAATAGTCTTTTAGTAGAGATAGAAAGTTAAGATTGTATGTAATTTGTGAGATTACGCGACGATGGATGATTTTGTAAACGTACGGGCGTTTCAGGTTCGACCGTCGAGCGTGCCCGGGAAGGTCGAGTACCCGCCACCGCCGGCGCACTCGCGGACGTCGAAGTCGTTGCAGGTCTCCGCGCGAGATCGGCCGATACTGGGACCGACGCATCCACTACCGAAAGTCGAGCCGAGCATGTTCAACTATTCGACGCCGTATCAGCAGCCACCCTGCACGACCTCATATTTGCACGACCTCAAGTTAAAAAACGAGATGGGGCCGCACAAGTCGCTGTCTAAGAGCGAGCTGGTCAACATCCCTCTCGACGGTCGTCACGGCAGAGAGGTGCTGCAGAATCCGCCGTCCTTGCTGCCGGATCACAAGAGCTCGGTGATCGTGAAGAACGAGGGCAGGGAGCTGCCGAAGACGCCGGTGCAGCACTCGTCCAGCCCGAAGATAATGCCTTATATGAACGTCCAGTCGGTAGCACCGCAGCACAAGTCGTCGGCGTACGAATACAGGAGCCCGACGCAGAGCCCGCATCATCTGCATCCCGCGCATCTGGACGGTCTACAGGCGGCGAAGAACATCGCGTCGTCCATCGCGTCATCGGGCCACCACCGTGGCGGCGGTGGCGGCGGCGGCGCGCCGACGACGACGACGCAGCTGCCGAGTCCGCACGGCCATCCGCCGCCACCGCCGCCGGCGCAGCCCGAGCCGCGCCTGCACTCGCACAATCCCCGTCAGTCCCCGCATGCCTCGCATGCCCCGCCGCAGCATCCGCACCAGCCGCCGCCGCCGCCGCCGCCGCATCCATCGCCGCCTGAGTCGCGCTATCTCAGCAGGCCGGAACCCGCGGGGCTGCCGTACGCCACGGGCAAGACCACGTATTCGTACCCGCATCCGCTTCCGCCCACGCCCTCGCCGGCGGTGTCGTCGCACTACGCCACGCCGCCGCCGGCCGGCTCAAAGCCGAAAGTCAGCAGCCCGGCGCCGGGACACATCTACGGCAAGCCTAACTCCGGCATCATGACCGGTACGCCGGTCTGCCGTGCCTCCGAACCGCCTGTCGCCGCGCCGATACCGCTGACCTCGAAGGCCGGCAGCTCGCCTTACCAGCAAGTGCCTCATCATCACGGGGCGCCGCCGCCGCCGTTGCCGCCGCCCGCACACAGCCGGCCTTTCGACAGCCGCGGCTTCGCCGGCTCGTTGCCGGGCGCGAAACTGCCGCCGCCGACGTTGCACGGCTCCCCGCCCACGGCTGCCTCGGCGCCGCTCTCAAGGCCGATCGTTCATCCCGCTCATCCCGCTCATCCCGTTCATCCCGCCCATCTCGGCACCAGCTCGCACCAGCAGCCCGGTCAGACGTTGCAGCACGCGCCGTCCCAGGTCACCACGGCCTTTCAGACGCAACCACTCGACCTCGGTGTCGAGAGGTCGGGCTCGCCCAAGAGGAAAGCGCCGACGCCGTTGTGCGACAACGTCAGCGGCCAGCCGGTATCGTTAGAAGTTTGTAAGAAGCGAAGAACCGAAGAGCCGCAACCGTTATCCCTGCAATCCGTCGGCCCGCCCGTTCTCTCCAGGGTGAGCGAGCCGAGTCCGCTCATCGCCTCGGCCGCCACGTCCATCACCACGGTTGTCAACACCGCAGCATTGCTGGCGCAGCCCAACAATCAGGCGACGCAGGAGCAGCGCACGGTGACGGCGGTGAGCCCGGCCCCGAGCGCCGCCAGCGGCGACGCCTCCGTGCGACCCGCCAGCACCGGCAGCGTGTGCTCGCTGAATCCGGCGCCGGTGAGCGCGGCGCCAAGCCCGGCGCCCATCCCCAGCCCGGCGCCCATCCCCAGCCCGGCGCCCAGCGCGCCCGGCACGCCCGCCAAGACGAACCCCAGCAACGCCGACAGCGACAAGTGCAACAGCCCAGCGCCGAGACCGCCCAGCAGCACCAGCTATCCCGTGCACAAGGTGAAGAAGGCGTGGCTGCAGAGACACTCGAGGTGCGAGGACGGCACCGAGAACACCACCGGTATGGCCAGCAGCGTCACGTTACCCCTCAACATCTCCCGCGAGACGCCGTCGTCGAACAGCAAGGACCGCGATAGCAGCAACTCGTCGTCGAACGCGAACAACAGCAACGCGCCGGCCACCTGTTTGCCAAGCGCGGTCAATTCTATCCACAATATCGGTAGCATGGCGGTCAACAGCATCAACAAGACCAAAGTTACCGGCAAGAGCGGCCGGAAGCCGGCGAACAAGGAGTCGTTGAACGGTCACGCCACCGACACCAGCAAGACCCCGCAGGAGGACTCGTCCAGCAGCGACCCGGACAGGAAGTCGCCGCCCAAACGGAAACCACCCAAGGTATCTATCTATACAAATCGCTTAAGGCCTGTGTCCACGGCGCCAGAACTCGATCCAAGTTCCAGTTTCGAGAGGTGTCTAGTCAATCAACTCGCAGCTTTTACGGAACAGCTGCAGGTTGATTGGCCACACATTTCTCGGCACCGGAACCTGGATCTAGCAAGTTCTAGCGTCGTGGACGCGGGCCTTTACGGTAGTCTTTGTTGCTGCTAAAAGTCACTATTTGCAGTTTCGAGTGCGTATGTTGTGCTGGTAGTTTAGTACCCGCTTATTTAGTTCGTACACAAACTATTTTTTCTCATTGAATAATACGCGGCTTTGCAATACATTTTGTAAAAATTTGTCTATTTATCAAATTCTCCATTTGTATGCAGAAGTTGTACACAGTTGAAAAATTTGTGTTAAATTTCACAGATATCACATGTTCCAAACGGTCCACGCAAATTTGTGTGTTAATTTAACATAACATGGATATGTTAAATGATCGCACCGATACTCCGTTAATATTTTAACACAAAATAAATGCAAATCTCAAAATCATTTGATACAAATTTTGTGTAAAATCAGCATATCTTTAATGACAAAATGAATTTAAAAAATGTAATTTGTACATTTTAGAGATGTAATAAGTTTCAAATGTACACGATAAATCTGTATTCTTTAATAACGCGCCGCTTAACGGTGTTTATAAACAGAATGTTACTTATTGTTTATCGAACTATTTTGTACTTTTCTTTTTATAATCGTAGACGATGTATTTCGGATGATTATTTCTGAATGTTTTGTCAGAGGTCACGTTTTTATCGCGTAGTGAACAATTCATAAATCGACTGTCTGAATAAGTCGAGAGCGTCAAGTTTACAAAAAACTCTGGCATTAATCACTCGTTTAATTATACAGTGGAATTGATGAAGTTGGCTACTTTATGTCGTGCCCTCGGGCAATAAATTTCGCAGGAGACCCGTAGAAATCATAGAAGCATGAATATGCAGTAGTTTTGTTTGCTGTGCCGTAGTTTTTAAACTTGCGACTGTCACGGTAGGAAAAACTCTTGACCATCGAGAATATTTGCCGCTCGAGGAAAAAAAGGTGTGTCGATCGTGTCTCGTCTTGCGAAGGAAAAAAACAGATCAAACTCTGGTATCCTTTTTCGTTATCGTTACTATCGGAATATCGCGATTGAATTTGCGACTCAGGTCTTATCTCCCGGGCATGTGCCTGATTACCAGTTTATTGTAAAATAAACTTTTCAACGCGTTAATTTTTAATCTGTTACCAATTAACATACGTTTCTAATACGAGCATACGCACTGCCGAATTTTTACCACGATTTATTATCGATGCTCGGCAGGGAGGTCGTTTTTTTAAATTAAAACGACCGATCTCCTTCGCAAGATCGTGTCGCGATTTTACGCAATTTTCGCCCTTTCTGCCCGAGCACTCGTTTAGGACCGGAACGCGGAGCGTTCTAGAGAGAAAAATTGTGTAAAACTGAGGCACGAGCCTTGCGAAAGGGACCAGTCGATGTCGTTCTTTAGCGCCGGTCTACAATACGTGGAGTAAGCGTGGAGTAAGGAGTAAGAGAGAGCCCCAACTTCTAGCTTTTGGTGTAAGGCAGCTGAAATACAGGCATAATTTTTAAAATATTTGTAACACTGATTGACGGCATTTTGATTCTCCGAGGGTAAGCCTAAGAGCTGAAGTAAGAGTAAGAAATAAAATGGATTTATTTCTTTTCTCCTACTCCTTACTCCAGCTTACTCCATGTATTGTAGACTAGCCTTAAGACACGATTTTGAATTGTTCGGGTCGCGCGGCTGGACCGGCGTCCCTGAGGGCAAAACGGGCCGTTTAAAAGCTAACGCGTCGCCCTTCTTCCCCGTCGGGGAAGTTTCCGTGGCGGTGCTGCGCGCATAGCCGAGTTTAAATTACGCGCAAAAAGGGCGCCATTTTCCTACGTGAGGCGCGCATGAATCACTGCCAACGGACGGACGGGTCTCGCACGAGTAACAAGTGTTTCGTCACGTAGCACCGTAAACAATTAATCTGCCGGTATCCCCGCGGTATTTGCGCGGCCAGTAACGTGCGTTGGACATGGACAGCACCGCTCGATCGACAAACAGCAGCCGCAGACGGGTAAATACCTTCGTCGCCCGGAATTTTCCGTCGCGACCGCGACCTAACCTCCATTCGCGCGAGACGCACGGGACGCTCGCGCGCGGCGGTTTCCGCTTGATCGGAGCCTCCGCAGCCCGAGCGTTCGAATTGCTCGCGCGATGTACGTCCTCGCGCGGAATATCGAGTTGCGCTGCGCAACTACGTTGCGCCCACGGGGCTCTGCGCGCTCGAGGGAAGCGTCGGGACGCGAAGGGCGTCGGCGTCTTCTCTCGGGGACAAAGGATTCAAACGCGAAGAGAGATCGCTTTCCTTCGCTCGCGAGTCAGCTTGAGAGCGCTTTAAAAGCTCGTGAACGTTCTCGGGGCCGATAAAATCGAGATCGAGGGCGAATGGAATTCGACGAGCGAGGTGGCGTGTAGCGCGGACGCGAGGGGCCCGGTTTGCAAGCACGTGGAGCAAGAGTGCGCGTAAGGGAACCATAACCTCTACTTTTTGAGGGGGGAGGGGGTCGGCGATTTAAGAAAGCTGAAATACAGGCTTGACTTACAAAATTTTTTTGTAGCGCTGGCCGACCACGCTCTGATTTGCCCGAGAGCGGGGCGTAAGAGTTGATTTGGGAGAGTAAGAAGTAAAATTGTTTTATCTCCCCGCGTCTACTCTCGCTCCTTTCTCCATGCGCGTCGTCTACAACGCGTGGAGCAGGTACGACCGCAAGCGGGTAGGGAGGAATCGTTGGCTCCTGACGCGAGGAAGCTAGAGAGTACGGGCATAGTTTTGAAAATAAACATTTGCAACACTGGCTGATCCGCCGTGGGCAAGCGTTAAGGCCCGGTCTACGAGGAGTCAGAACTACGTGTCGGTCCATTTCCTTCCGGAAGAGAAAAGGACCAACGTACAGCCTCCAACTTGTAACGACTAACGACTCTAGGCCTAAGAGCTGAAGTACGAGTAGGAAGTAAAATTGATTCCTTGCTCCTTCAGGCTTGCTGCATGCATTGTAGACGACGCAATAGATTGTAGACCTGATCGGTGTGCGACGGAGCTGTCTGTAATTATGCGTGACTTAGGCCCGGTCGCCAACGTCGCTTAACTTTGAGCCCCGTTTAATTCGTACTTGGTTACTCTAGAGAGAGAGAGACAGAGCCGAGCTAAACTCGAGATCGAAGCTAAGCGACGTTCGGCGAAACCGGGCGAACCCTACAGACTTGGCTTAGGTTTGAATGGACCTTTGAAGTTGATGTGTGCCAAATGGTAGAGCGCTGAGGCCGGTAGTTGTGGCCAGTTTTAGTAGCTTCGGCTGGTAGATGCGGCAAGAGCATGAACTTCCTGACTACTTAATAATCTGTGCCCTGTGGTAGGTAAAACGAAAGAAGGGCGCCGCACGGAGGCAACAAACCGCCGCGGAAGATCAGCGGAGGCGGAAGGAGGACAAGCAGGGCGGCGGCGCGGGCGGCGGCAGCGAGTCGAGCAACGAGAGCGAGGCCGGCTCCGCCAGCGACACCAGCGAGAAGCTGAGCTCTATTCAGCCCGCGTCGAGGATTCGGCACACCACGGCCAATTCCAACAACTCCTCGGGAAACGGTTAGTTGACGTAGCTTCTTGTAAATGGACTTCCCGTCAGGTGAACTAACTATTCACTTGCAGGGTAAGTGGCCCGCGTTCCATGATTGTACGATTATTCCTCGCTCTCTCCGTCTCTCCGGGAGATGTACAAGAACTCGGGGGAATCGAGAGTGCTTGGACACACACAGTTTAAATTCGCACTTGGCTCCGCTTGCGCGAAATTGAAATTGAAGGAAGATTTCTAGAGACTCTTGGATCTCTCTGACGCTTTTTGTTTTTCTTTACGAGTTCGCCACCTTTCAAATTGCGTTAATTCGATCTCACGCACTTACCCTGTTCCCTTGATTATACTGTGTTACTACACCGAGAGACGCACGTTGTATTTTTAAGATATTGTGTTACATGATGACAATATAAAACGGTTGATTACACTGTGATACGATACTATTATTATGAGCTTTTTAACACTGATTGTAATTTGTAATGAAATTAAACACGACTATTGGGACGACAGACTTTCTGACAAAGCGAGATACGCTGTGTGTTGTGCAGGAAATAACAAGGAGCCTAGGAAACGTGGCAGGAGACCAAAGACTACGAAGAACAATGACGTGGGGGGCGAGGACCAGCAGCCCCGTCAGAAGAAGGAGCGCAGGGACGACAGCACGGGCGGCGGTAACAGCGGCCCGGGCGGCAGCGGCGGACGGGGCGATCCCTTTCGTAAGCCGCCGATATCGCACCTGAAGAAATCCGGCGACAGCTGGCTGCAGGATGGCGCCTGTTTCGAGGTGGCCCAGAAGCTGGCCAAGTGCCGCGAGTGCCGATGGACGCCGAATCAGCGCTCCAAGAACCTTTCTCAGAATATCTTCTGCAGATTCTACGCGTTTCGCAGACTGCGCTATACCAAAAACGGACAACTGGCCATAGCGGGATTCAGTGATCCGCACAAGGACGCGTCCGAGGTAAATTGCGAAGACGAGCCCACGCTTACGCTCGTAATTGATGTTAAATGTGGCGGGATTAACGCGATTAAATCGAGACGAATCGATAGTCCTCGCAGGTTCGATTCGAGGTGCGTACTCTCACGCGAAAACCATTACATTGTTACAGGATGACCTTCGGTTGTGGTTACCAGGAAAAGATAGCCAAGAGACAGCGGGAAAGGACGACAAGTCCGAGAAAAGCGAGAAGGACAAGGTGGATCGAGAGGACCTAGACTTGGAGACGGCTCACCGGCTGCTTCGACAGGTTGGCGATCAATTCTGTGATCTTTTACACCAGGAAAAGGAGGCCCTCCAGGAGCATATGGCCGAAGGTAAAATTTTGTTCGTTCTTTTTTTTTCACAGCACATTTTCGGGACTGACCGTTCACACATTTCTCGTATTAATCAACGCACACACATGTATATATAATCCAAACAAATAAATACGTGACGCACGTATTAATAAACTCCAATTAAAATTACTGTATCATCAGCACTATTTAATTATCTTCAATATGTCTGACCTTTCACACATTATTTGCACCGATTTGTCTCCCCTGTATAATACAATGCCCAAAAGTTAGCGTAGATGATATTTAATTCACTCCATTATTTTTGCAACATTGTAACTCATTTAAACATCAGGCCGCATGATCGCTTGCGTCATTTCTTTTGTTCGCATGTTTTAACGCTTTGCGCATCGATTATGGTTACCTTTTGACAGCGCGTTCGGGGGTTGTAGACGGAACAGTAGCGTGGAAACGAGTGATCCAGGGTGTTCGAGAGATGTGCGACGTGTGCGAGACTACCTTGTTCAATTATCACTGGGCTTGTGGCAAATGCGGCTTCGTCGTGTGCATTGATTGTTACAAGGTGAGTTACATTTTAAATGTATATACTCTTGCAGTTAGATCTTGAGAGTCACATGATGAAAGTAATGCGATTGATATTACGTGATATTTTAACACTTTTTGAGCTTTTTAACACTGACATTGATACAACAATTTGATCGTTTCTTCCTCTCGAAGGGACAGTTTATTGATGGGGATAATGTAATTATTTAGGGACGTAAAAACAAGACGGTCAAACTCTGGGGCGAGAGTGGAAAGGACAGGGACGAGTTTTCGTGGCTTCTGTGCACGAATAGGCAAGCGCACGAACCAGAACGACTCATGCTGACGCAAATCATCGCCGGCGACAGCCTTCTGCGACTGGGCCATCGTCTGCACGAGTGTCGCACCCAATGGGGAATCCCGCAACACTGTGGTTGCCCTCTCACGATGCTCATGGGGCAACCGAACGAGATCCTCCGTAACCTGATCAAGGGCGACTCCGTGCCCATGCTCAACGGAAACGTGAGGCAGGAGATAAAGGAGGAAAAGAAGTTAAACGAGTCTAACGGCGCGTCGGAGAGCAAGACGAACGGCGAGGATAAAAACTCGCCGCTGAACTGGCTTGCGGACGTGGCGCTGCAGAATCAGGACAAGAACGACAGCGGCTCGAGCTCGGACTCGGACGACGATCGCGAAGGTAATTACTCGACGTTGCGGGAATTGCTCATAAGGCCGTCGCACAAGTCAAACGGTAGCGGCGGCTCCAGGTCGAACTCGCCTACGAATAATTCGGGCGGCGGCGTCAACAACGCCACGCAGAACAACGTCGTCAAGTCCGGCAAGAAGTCGAAGATGGACACGCTCGACGAGGTGATATCCAGCGTGATTGAGCACAGCGTGAAAAAGGAAAAGGACAGCGGCCTGGATGACGAGAAGCCGCGGGAGTTAAAGCACTTCGTGAGGCGCTACAAGTGGACGCAGCGCGGCCGCGAGCCGTTACCGATCAGAATTATGACGGGGACGGAGAGCCAGAGTCTTTATCCGGACGTGCCACACTCCTGGCTCTGCGACGGCAAGCTGCTGAGGCTAAGCGACCCGAACAATCCGAACAACTACAGAATATTCCAGGATCAATGGAAACGGGGGCAGCCGGTGATCGTGTCGGACGTTTCCAAGGCATTGGACATGAATCTCTGGCATCCCGATTCGTTCGCCCGCGACTTCGGCGACGAGAAGAACGATCTCATTAACTGCATGACCGGCAATCTGGTGCCGAATCAGCCGATGCGCAAGTTCTGGGAAGGATTCGAGTACTACTCCAAGCGGCTCAAGGACGAGCGAGGCAATCCCATGTTGCTGAAACTGAAGGATTGGCCGCCCGGTGAAGACTTCGCCGAGTTACTACCGTCGAGATTCACGGATCTGATGAAGGTTCTTCCAATGTCCGAGTACACGCATAGAAACGGCAGGCTGAATCTGGCGAGCCGTCTGCCTAATTGCTTCGTGAGACCGGATCTGGGCCCGAAGATGTACAACGCTTACGGTTCCGCTCTTCATTCCAACAAAGGCACGACTAATCTTCATCTTGACATCTCGGACGCCGTGAACGTTATGGTATACGTAGGGACGCCGAAGGATGTTAATAACGAGGAAAGTCTCAAAGGTACGTATTCACGCTGCGTCCTTTACGTTCAACCGGGATCCGTTTGCGTCGCTAATATTCTTGTCGAACTAATACCCGACTTTTCGAAAACTTGCAGCTCGGACAGAGACGATGAGAGCAATAGACGAAGCAGGCTGTGATATTCTGACGCGTCGACGCGCTCGCGACGAAAAGGAGAAACCTGGCGCCCTGTGGCACATTTACGCGGCGCGTGACGCGGATAAAATTCGAGATCTTCTGAATGCCGTGGCCTTAGAACGCGGAGCTCGTTTGGAGCCTCACCACGATCCCATACACGACCAGAGTTGTTACTTGGACGGACCGTTGCGGGAACGCTTGTATCGGGAATATGGTGTTGAAGGGTAAGCATCGCTTTTTACAGGATACACGGCGCGCCTCGGATAATTCCACAAAGAATTTGTTGAAAGAGAAAACGTTTGTAGAAAATTGTATGAAACTATTGATATCTTGTCGCAGGTACGCCATCGTCCAGTGTCTAGGTGATGCAGTATTTGTGCCAGCTGGCGCGCCACATCAGGTCCGCAATCTCCAAAATTGTATAAAGGTGGCCGAGGACTTTGTGTCGCCGGAGAACGTTTCGCACTGCTTCCACTTGACCCAGGAATTCCGTGCGTTGTCCGACACCCATACCAATCACGAGGACAAGCTCCAGATCAAGAACATCATTTACCACGCCGTGAAAGACTCGCTCACCGTTCTAGCCAATGTTGAGGAGAAAACTCGCGCCAAGCTCGCCAAGGCTAACAGTGAGAAAATGAAGGAGGAGACTTAGCCGTAAGTCCTCGCTGTGGTTTGATTACATAACCGATTAATAATCCCCTTAATTGTGGGTCTCGTTGTCCGTACGAGACGAGATTAACGCAGCCGGCGCTCGCGAGCACAGCGGGACTGGCGTAACCGGAAGAATCTGTAGAAGATCGCCCTTGCCGCAACAAGATTGCGAAGGTGCGAGGATTTGTTGTGATATTTGTGAGGAATTAAAATGATTTCGGAGGATTTCATTTGCGATATTGGCTGAGCCAATATTTAGTCGTACGTTGTTTCATTCGAATTTCCTTGTATACAATTCTTTTCTGCTCTCCCGTTTTTCCCGAGAAGAGAAGTGCGCCGTGGACATGAAGTCCAATGAGCTCTACTGCGAGTGAAAAGAAAAACCGTAACTCGGATCGTGCATAGGTAAAATGCCGCATCCATTACTATTGTGATACCAGAAGGACTTTGGATCGTGTATACATTATTTGTAATTAATTATATCGTGCCTGTATCCAATACATACACTCATACACACACACACACACATACACGTACACACGTACACTTGTCTATATTATATAAATGTAGATAATTGAAATATTATGTAATAATTTTTGCTAGCAACTACCAGAGAGGAGAGGGAGAGAAAGGGGGGGTTCATCTAGAAGTACCTTTGTGCAATTAGGTGTGACTATAAATTATTATAGCTGGATCAGCGAGATAACTGCGGATCCACTTTAATCGTCTGCTCTGATGATCTGGTGCTTTTCGGTATTTCATCAAAACCCCGGCTAGAGAGATAGCCGATACGTATTCGCGTTCATGTCTTCTATGTTTCACGTGACAAGGGCGTAAAGAATAAAACACTGCCTAACTAATCGGTTCGACGACAATGGAAGAAGCAGACCTTTCTCACACGTTTTTCTTTTTGTCGTTTTTCAGATAGACACTTCGTATTGTTGAATAGAACGACGTTCTCGTAGAGATGCATTGTGTTTTCTCAGCGACGTATGTATCGGTTATGCGAGTCGATGGGATGTGCTACAAGTTTTGTATGTCACTTCGAGTGTAAGGCATCAGAATAAAAAAAAAAACAAGTTCGAGGGAGAAACAAGTTGTCCGATATTAACTTTTCCAAGATGTAACGGCGGATGTGAAACACCCTTGAATCGAACCGTTTCATTGTTGTCGTAACCCAGTGACTACCCGGCGTGTAACGGACGGGAGATACTAAATAAGATGAATATGTTATTTTTGTCGAAGCGTATACAAACCGTCTATGTCGGACGATAAAACGAAGAGACAGCGACAATGTAATTGCGTAAACGGGAAGCTGAGACACGTGTGAAATCATTTGCAGTAACATTTGTAAAATCACGAAAATCCATTTGCTGTAACGTTTGACGGAAAGAGAGGGGAAAAAAAAGGGGGACGACTTTCGAAGTGCCAATGTTGAATTATGTGGGACATTAAGTATGCGCGCGTTGTATTGTATTCGTGTATGCGTAGGTAGAAAAGAGACAGGAAGGGAGAGGTGGGAAGGTAAGAGAACTAATTTAGTCACGCAGAATTCGCAGAGATGACAGGGCCGAGTTCCTATCATTTCGTGACTGATGCGAGCGACGAGGTTCCCCGCCGTTCGCACTGTCACTGACGATTCGAGAGCTGCTGCCGCCTCCGTCTCTTCTCCTTTTTCTTCTCGACATCCGTTTGACGGACGTCACGCGGGTGAATGTAAGAGGACCTTCGATGTCTATGTTCATACTTGAGACGCAAGATGTGCGCAGCAGCTCTCGAATCGTTACGCGCCATCCTCGTGGCGGGTGATCAGCTAGTTACGGACGAATAATCTTGACACGGAGACATGTAAAGTAAACTAGAAGGAAGGGCGAACGGAAGAGGAAAAAAAAAGAAGATCACTGGCATCCTGGAATCCGCAATTTCTTTGATCTCAACATTCGTCTAGCATACAACGACTTGATTAATATTTAACGAGTAAATTTTTAAAATATCTTAGTGTTGATAGGTAATGATTGTGGGAATTATATAAGCTGCAAACAAGCAAAAAAGTACTAACTCCACCACGGCGGTGTTGTATAAAGTTCTAGGAAGACGTATTTCTGTGTATTATTGCTGCAAAACGAGACGCTATTGTTTGTCCTCTTGCTACGTGTATATGTACATACATTTATATACATCCGTATATGTATACAGATATAAATACGAAGAGCGGGATGTGAGAGAGAGAGAGTGTGTGTCTAGGACTCGTAAGCGATAGGGAGCTGATCGCAAACGATTAACGCAAGAAATGAGAATACATCTTACACGCATAGGTAGATAGTTTATTATACCATTATTATAATTATTATATATTATCATTATTACGTTTAATTATTACGGAAAATTACGATATTTAAATGTTGCTGAATATGCGAACACGACGAACACACACGTGAACGCGCGCGAGTGCATGTAAAATGACTAAAAGGTAGAAGGAGAAGAGAATGAGAGAGAGAGAGAGAGAGCAAAAAATATCGAAAGAACGAGGTAAGCGAGAAAGAACAATGGGAAGAATGTGCGTGGATGAAAGAGAGAGAAGGTATGTGTGTATGTGTGTGAGAAAGAGAGAGAGAGAGGAGAAAGAGTAAAGGGTGTAATTGTGCGCGTGAGTGGCGATCCAGTGAAAATGCGACGGAATGAGAGGGCGAGGGGCCGTGCATTGGGGGCGGAGTGGAGAACGGACGGTATCTAAAACAATGTACAGACCTACGACCTCCCGCGAGATGTGTGTATATCCACCCCTCCCCCCTCGAGAGACGGAGAAAGAGAGTGAAGGGAAAAAAGAAGGAAGAGAGTTTCGCGTTACCCACCCCTTTCCTCCCCCGGCGTCCCCTCCTGCAACCACCGGCCGCCCCCAGTCATAGCAGTTATGAACCGCGGGCCGGCAGGTCTGAGTATAATTTTTTGTACTGTGTAAATGTAAGACCATACGTTTGAATAAGAAAAAAAAATGTTTATATTACGAAACGCCCGGCGTATTTTTTTTTCGATCACTGCGTCTCACACCCTCCCGGCGGGCGAGCCTAGGAGTTTTTAATTCATGTTAATTCACCGGAGCCTAACCCGAGAGTCGAGGAATCGAAGTTTATTCGGAGCTGATGAAAGAAAGAACAGAGGTTTGTCCATTTCTCAGTTTCGAAACGGGGATTTAATTCACTCGAATCTGATTACGGTTGTTTTCGGCATGTAATCTGTGGAGGCTTAAAATATATATTGCGAGTTAAGTTACAGTCACTAACGAAGTTAAGTCAGAGTTACCGAACGAAACTGTGACTTCGTCACAGGTAACGAGTTACTTCCCAACCCCGTGCGTTATTTTAATCGAGCGAGAAAGGAGCGTCTTGACGTCGGAATCTTCCCGCGGCGAGGAGTACTCGACATCAGCAGGTAATTATCGAACACAATTCCAAAAATGTCTCGTAACAACTTTACATCGCGCGATAGAATTTTTCAGTAATTATCGTTTGCAGAGAAAGCAATGCGCGAAACTGTATACGATCCTCATCGCGAGACGTGTCGCGGACGTTCTCCAAGTTGCTCATTAACGTGAGTCGCGTGACGCTTTCGTATTTCTTTCGTTCGTCACCGAAACGCGAAGCCCTCGTCGATCAAAATCGAGGGGATTCAACGGTCGCGCCGCCTCGCGCGAGCGAGTGCGCACGCGCGGCCGCCCCAAGATGGCGGCGCGATCGCGGAGGGGAAGACGATCGAGCCGAGGGCCGCCGAGCGGCGAGTGTCACAATCGCGTTCGAGTGCGTGCGGGACGGTGGAACAATGGTCGCGCGCCGGGGTGATTTACCGTTTCTCGCTACCGTTACCGTGGTCGTCGCCGCCGAGGGTGGCCGCGCTCTGTAAGCGGGGGACTCGGTGCGCGCACGACGAAGCGGGGAGGCACGGTCTCTCGGCGCAGATCTCCCTCCTCCCCTCCTCCCCTCCTCCCCCTAGGGAGACGCGAGCGGAATGCCTCGCGCGGACGTACGCGCACGGCGCCGGGACTGGACGTAATACGGAGGAGCTGCCACGACGACGCGCCGCGTTCTCCGCTTCCACGGTACACGCCTCGACCCCGGGCATGTCAGCGCGCTGAGCCAAAATGGCAGCCACGTTAACCGCCGAGCAGGAGCAAGTGAGTAAGCGCGTCCGGCGTTTCTCCGCTCGTTTCTTCCGCGGGACCGAGGGGGCCGTCGGCCCGCGCCACCGCCACCGCCATTATCATCATTGTCATTATCGCCGTCGTGGCCGTAGCTGGATCCCGCCGCCTCGAGACGGGTGATCGTGAAACGCGGACGGCCTTCGCCTCGCGTCCAAGGTCTCGGGTCTCCCGTGTCCCGTGTCGTCGGCGCGAGACGAGCGGGTCGCGCGCGCATCCATGCGAGGAGACGCCGCGATCGGAGGATCGCGGAGCTCGGACCATCGCCAAGGTCCTCGCCGGGAAGAGTCGTCGGAATCCGTCCGTCCGTCCGTTCGTTTATTCGCGTCCGTTCGCCCGTCGTTATCTCGACGCCTGGACGCCGAGAGAGCGCGCGCGCGCGAGATAGCGATCGTAAACACGCCACGGAAATCGCCGTCGCTCTCTTCCGACGTCGTCGGCGGCGCGAGTCTACTTCCTTCCTCGTTGCCGCGACGAGAGGAGCCGCGCGGCCGGAAGTCGGAACGCTTCGGGCATGTCAGGACGTTAATAATGGGCCGCGTTTCCGGCGCGGGCGGCCGGTTTCTTTCGGAACGCCCACGCCGCGGCTCCCTCGTCGTCGAATTTCGAAGCTGTTTTGAAAGCGCGCTGTCGCGCGCGGGCACGCGCGCTCTTCTCGCGGCTTCCGCCGCTTAAAAATTCACGCCGATGCGACGCGACGCGGCGCGGCGCGACGCGACGCCCGGTATGCGAGTCGCTGGAATTGTGCGTACAGGGCGCGGTCGAAATACGCGAGCGACGCTAAATCACGCGGGCGTGAGAGAGCGGCTTCCTCGGATTCCCGTTTGACGAGACGTTCGCGGGCAAACCCGATCGGTTCATCTCGCGACGCGATCGAGAGCGTTTACCTACGTCGCCGATTATCGCCGGAGCCTGTTCGCTCAATTACTTGATAAGACGCAGAATTGTACGACGATTGAATCACGAGACACGTTGTTTTTTTTCTTTTTTCACAAGCGAGACACCACTGATTGCGATCGCAGTTGAAAAATTTGTGTTAAATTTAACAGATGTCACACGTCAACAGTCCGCACAAATTTTTGTGTTAATTTAACATAATATGGATACGACGCTCTGTTAGTATTTTAACACAAAATAGTTTGAAATACATTTTGTGTAAAATCAACATATTTTTCATGACAAAATGAATTTTTTAAAAATGTGATTTTTACATTTTGCAGATGTAATAAGTCAAATGACGGTTCGAAATCACTCACTTACGTTATATAGAATAAGATCAGCCCTTTATTCTGTAAATATCAACAGACAAATCTTGCTACTAATAATATGGAACGTACGTATTGTGTAAGATTAAGAAATCAGCACGCATTGTGTTGCGTTAACATTTCTTTTCAGTTATTTCAATAATTTTACATTTGGGGTCAATTAACACAAGAGCAATATGTGAAATTAACACATGAATGTGTTGAACGTTTAAAATTTTAACCGGCATTTTTCTTCAACAAGAAAACACAAATTTTCCAACTGTGTAGCGTCGTTCTTTTAACCTGTAGAGGACCGGAGTGGTAACTACGGTGGCCCGGAGCAAACTTGAAAACTTTGCGGAGCATGTGGATTGCATATATGCGTAAATATTCTGTTTAAAAGAAAATTACACGTTTCAATGGGGAAAATGCCGGCCGTCTGCGGGTTGAACGGCGAATGTCGATTTGAGGAAACTCCGCATTATTGATCTCGCGAACGTTACCGAGTTCACCGTAGATTTCGAAATTGTGCCGAACGCTCTTCCCAAGCCGCTGAAAAATTGGCCGAGTGCGTTTAACCTCTGACGGCCTCGACGCGAAGGTGCAGTTTCTATCTGCGTTGCGAACCGGCGATGCGGAGCAAATTCTATTTGAAGCTCCGACGGAGTTTCTCGGTAACGAGATTTTCCCCGCTTATCGATTTGCCGCCGCTCAATTTCCGTCTGCCGCGCACATATTTTTAGCGTGGCACGAGCACTCCTGTTGCATAGAAACAGCGAGAAATTATAAGTCGCGGGCACGACAAAGGCAGTCACCTCCGTTTAAGGAGATCGATCGAGAGCGGCAGCCTCGATTAATTGGTACCGATACCCCCGACCCCGTTCCTCATCGCCGCGACTATTATCGCGTTAAAAGGCCCGCAATCGCGATCGACGTTAGGTCCTGGCGCACGAACGGGGGAAATATCTCAGGTGCGGGAAATAAATTTAACAAGAGGAATATTATTGTCGCCAGTAATTGATTAAAAGCTGGAAGAATAGTTTGACGACGTCAAGCTGGCTAAGGTGGTTTAATTTAACGATTTATCCCAACGTTTCGACCGAGGGGGAAATCGCTGACCAAAATCTTGTACACCAATGCCCACGAATGCCCAGTGGGCATTACTTTGTCTTATTATCTTATTTTATCTTTATAATGCACCAGGAGAACCTAATGCATTGTGGTGTACACGATTTTGGTCAGCGGTTCCCCCCTCGGTTGATTCTATTCTATATAACATAAGTGGGAGTGATTTCGAACCGTCATTTGACTCATTACGTCTGTAAAATGTAAAAATTACATTTTCTAAATTCATTTTGTCCAAATACGTTAATTTTGCACAAAATTGATTTCAAATTAATGGGAGATTTGCATTTATTTTGTGTTAAAGTATCAACAGAGTATTAGTGTGATTTAACATATCCATATTGTGTCAAATTAACACGAAAATTTGTGTGGACTGTTTGAGACATGTGGTATCTGTTAAATAGAACACAAACTTTTCAACTGTGTATAAATAATAAATAAATTTACATTCACGAGCTAAGAGTGCAAACACTTTGGAGCTTCTGCTTCAGAAACAGTTCGTAAAATTATTTACAGAACGTTTCTGAAGTAAATGCGAGAAGTAAATGACTGTTGTAATTTTACAGACTTTCTAAAAATTGCTCGTCGCTACGAAATTGATTGTCGATTTTATTAGGTACAGGGGAAAGTCCTCTATTACGAGATAGGAGGTTTTCAACGTCCAAATTCAATCGCGCGTCTTTTCTCGCTACGATTACACGATCTAACAATGAATTTTCCACTCAACAGATCTCGCTCCAAGGGCAATAAATTCGTGGTGGGACCAGACAGTCGACGTCTATCGATTTGGCGGAAACTCCGCTATCTCATATTAGAGGACTTTCCTATACTATTTCGACCTTAGCTGCTGGATTTCAAGACCGATAAAGATCGGCGCGCAGTTGACGTGTTGAATAAAAGACAAGCACGCAAAAATATCAGGCGCGAAGACTCAGATACTTTAGACACTTTGGACCACGATTGTACGATTCCTGTATCTACATCTCATATTTTATTTCTCTTCTTTTTTCTCTCTCTCTCTCTCTCTCTCTCATATATTTTAGATTTACTCCTCTTTCTAATATTCTATGTTGTGCGCAGGGCGTTTAGTTAAACTAAATTAGTTTTCACGTATATGCGAGCGAGCCTCGGCACGTGCGAACAGTTTCAGAAACGCGTGGGGGGTGTCCATTCATTCTCTCTTTCATAATAAAACAATGATCTCAAGTGCGCAATCAACACCTCGTATCGTCAACATTCACTGTTCTCGCCCGCGTCTTAGCGAGCACGCGCGTTTCGAGCCGTTCCCCTCGCTGCGCTAATTCCAGGTTCGGCTCTGCCACGCGATTAATTCTGTCGTCGAACCTCTTTCTTTCTCTCTCTCTCTCTCGCCGCTTAGCGCGCCAGTATTCGTCGGAAAGAAATAATGGATCTGTTCTTCATAGCTGAACTGGCCGCACTAGTTCAGAGCTTGTCCTTTTCCCTTCGCGCCAGAAGGAGAAAGATAGACTCTGAGCTAGTGCAGCCAGTTCAGCTGTAAAGCCTCGTGTCCACGATCCAAGAACCGCGTCCAAGTTCGAGTTCCGAGGAATGTGTAGCCAATCAACTTAGCCAAGCAGCTTTTCCGTAAAAGATGCAGGTCGATGGGCTACGCATGTCTCGGAACTAGAACTTGGATCGTGGACGCAAGGCTGCAGGCCTGTTGCACGATGCTGGAACTTGGTCCAAGTTCTAGTTCCGAGAAACGTGTAGTCAATCAACTTGCAGTTTTTTACGGAATAGCTGCAGGTCGATTGGCTACGCGTTTCTCGAAACTAGAACTCGGACCAAGTGCCTAGGCACATCGCGGACGCAGGCCTTTAAAGAACGGACCCAATGTCGCGAGCCGCGGAGGGCCGCGTTAAATTCCTCGGTGCTCCCGCTGGAGCTGACACGCGCGGCGGCCGGGCGGCCGTACCGTGCTCGCGGGTACCACCGTGCCGATCCCCGCCGGCTGGCAGCGCAACGGAAATGACCGGTGGGGAGGTAGCCGGACACGCCGGAAGTCGCGTCGGTAGTATATACCCGGCGCGCGTACGTACGTGTGTCACGCTCACGCGTCCGCGCCGTCCACGGTCATTGCTCGTTTTAATAGCGTAAAAACGACATGTCGTCGCGCCGTTCATGCCGCGCTGGCGCGGCGACCGTCTTGCGATCTCGTCATCTCGAATACCGAACGCGACGGGATCGCCGGTCGAGGATACGCCGCTCGCGTTTTTATGGAATAGCTGCAAAGACGATTTGGCTAATTTTCTCGGGATCAGAACTTGGACCAAGTTCTAGCATCATGGACACGGGCCTTAAGAGAACAGTTGGAAAGGGACAAAGGGTGAATCAAGCTAAGCTTAAGTGGCGTCGGTGAAATCGGGCCTAAAGCCTCGTGTCCACGATCCAAGAACTGTGTCCAAGTGTCTATTCAAGAAATGTGTAGCCAGTCAATTTGCAGCTTTTCCGTAAAAGATGCAGGTTGATTGGCTACACATTTCTTGGAACTAGAACGTGGACGCGATTTTTGGACCGTGGACAAAAGGCTTGAGAACGCACGCGGTACGCTCGCGTTTCCGCTCGCAGGAGGACGACGATGCCCGATGCCCGCTCTTGCGTGCCTACGTCGTCGCAATTCGACGTCGGGGCGGTATTATATTTCGAAATTCCTGAGTCTAGCGTCTCTTTCGCCTTCCCTCCCTTTTCTCTCTTTCCTTTCCTTTTCTTTTCCTTTTCCATCGCGACAAGGTCACGCGCGACGAACTGGCGAGTCGACGAATATTCGAGATATGCACGTGTTGCGTTCGCGTCTCTCGATCGGGTCGCGCTGATAAAGATTGCAATTCGCGGTTTCCTGCCGGCCGCGTCGCGAAGCGCCGGCTCTCAAGGTTGACATTGTGCAACGGCGTACGGCAAGATGCTGAGCGATTCCGTTGCCCAATGGGCATTTCGTTATCCGCCGCCGATTTCAGCAGCGTGCGATAACGTATTTATAGAATTGCGTCCACGGACGCGGCGAGCGATAAGGATAAAATAGGAAGAAATAGCAATGGCGTTTTTTAAATAGCAGAATGTGTCAGCGTTGTTGGGAGATGAATAAACCGTCTTTCCTTCCGCTCTGTTATTAACACGTGTTTTTACCATAAGCACAGTTTTATCTCTATGGAAATGTAAAATGAAGGAAATATTCATAGGTCCGTATTCTGAACGCTCTTTTATCAATAAAAGCGCCTCTAAAAGCGGCTTACTAAGCCTTCCGATTGGCTACAAGCCACTTAGAGGCGCTTTTGTCGATAAAAGGGGATTTAGAATGCGGGCCATTTTGTGTTATATTGATTCGTATTGTTACATCAGCAGCATTGGCGACGAGAAAATTATTAATATCGAAAGTATATACGCCAGTTACGTGTATTTAATAACGCAGGCACAAATGCGATTTATATTTACGTGGAAAAATTTACTTGTACTAATTGCACAAAACCTTTTTCCTCTTAAAATCAATAAGTACATGTAAAATACTCTGTATTCCAGGCTACGAAAGAATTCATAGAAGCTGTGAACAGATGTAGGGCCGGTAGACGTGCCGGACCGGTGTCCTGGAGCACGGCGGTCAAGTTTTTAGCGGCGCGGAAGTTTGAGGTTCAACGAGCTTTGGCTCTGTACGAGCAGCACGAGGCCACCAGGAGGAGAGAGGGATTAGCAGTTCTGCATCCTACTCAGGAACCCCTGCTCAGTGAGCTGTACACAGGAAAATTTACTGTCCTGGTAAGACCGAGAGAGAGAGAGAGAGTCAGTTTTAACGCGGATGCGTTTCGTTTCGTCGTCACGGCTTCAGGCGAATTAATATATAAACTATTTCAGCCATCAAGAGACGCAACAGGTGCAGCGATAGCTATTTTCACGGCGCATTTGCATCTTCCACAGAACACTACGCATCAAACGACACTGCAAGTAAGTTTTGCAAAGTTGCATTATTTATGCGCGGGCCGCGACGAACTTTACGAATAGTCGCGGATACTTGTTGGTAATTCCGAATAATCTAGATTTCCGTCTAGAGAAAGTAGGACTTGGAAATTTTTGTTGTTAAGGTAACCAGCTCTCTTGTCTTTTTTTTTCCAGGGTGTTGTATATCAATTAGATGCTGCCCTTGAAAGTGCGGAGACGCAGAAGCATGGACTAGTTTTTATTTATGACATGTCTGACAGCAAGTATCAGAATTTTGATTACGACCTGTCTCAGAAAATTCTGACACTTCTGAAGGTAAGTCGGCGAATATACTTTGGACGTTGGTAGGGAATCATTGTGGGGTAACGCACGCGTAATATGTCCGAAACGGACCGTGAAGTCCAATAATTTAACTTCTCGGCGGTGGTTAAAAGTAATGGAAATCATGATTAAAATATACAAATGACTGAGATACGTCAAACTTAACAACACGAACGTGGGGAAGATAGATTTCCCGCGAAGCCGTGAAGAAATTTCTCGGAAAAAATTGTTTGAGAAACCCGCGAAAAGATGGGAATAAAAAAAAAGAGAATGGACAATCAACCACGCGTGACTTACCCAAATAATCAGGAAGCGCGAAGTCCCTCTTGTTCTCACCGCGGAGATATAATATACGTCAAGAATTTCTCGTGACCTCCCATTGCAAAATTGCCGCACGGAAGCGTTGTGCAAAATCTCGCGTTTTCTTTTTTCCTCCCCCTCCCCGTCCCTTCCGACACGACTAATTCGATTAGACGACGGAGTCGCGGTGTCATCGAGATTTTCTCTGTGCATTACGCATCGATTTGCCCGCCGTTTTCTCTCGAAATATGCGTAATACTTCGTGCGACACGATTGAGCCGCGTAACGGCCAAACGCGGAGGCGGAGCACCACTGGTGCTCGCACGCGCGGAGTTAGAAAGCGAGAAAAGATCGCGATCGAGAGTGAGAGGAGGGTCGGAGTCGCGAATTATGTATAACGATACACGGTCTCGTTTCTCTATTCCCGCCGACGTGACAGAGGTGCTCCGTCACGCACGAATGTCGGGCGCACGAAAGAAAGCCATTCGTTTGGATTTTCGCCGGTAACGGCGACGTGCAAAGGCCGGCCCGAGATAACGCCACTTCGCCTATTTCTATGTAGATACAGAACGATTTGCATCGTACGTGTTCCGTAAACCGCGGGTGCCGTAAGTTTGCATACAATTGGCATCTCTAAAATAAATTTTCCCACGGACGTGAGAAAGAGCGCGAGAGAGACACCTAATCGCGGAGGAGATATTAATTATATTTGTGTATAAATTTACGAGCACCGTGCTGTTGGAACCCAGAGGCCTGGCGGGATATCGTCTTTCTTTTCAATGATAATTGCGAATTTGCCAAGTGGCGCAGCGTTGTACCCGCGGCCTGAATTTCCCGGCCGCGTCCTATTCCGGAGTGTCGAGCGAGCGCGGCCGGACTTTCCGCGCTTCTGAAAGGAAGAAGGAAAAAACAAAAAGAATCTTTTCTCTCTCTCTCTCTCTTGAGGAGAAGCGTAATAATTAGGCGAATTACGCTGGCACCAAGTGCCATTTAGCGACGTCTAAGTGCGTGGCCCGATTAACATTCACGTTGCGTGCAATTTCGTCCGGCCGTAGTGCGGCATTACAGTTATTACCGTCGCTGAAGTTAACCCAATTAGTCATCGCCGCTCGGTCGAAATAGTCTCGTGCGTTAACGCTTTGATGCGGTCAGCCCACTTACGTAAAAAAAGAAAATGGTGTCATACGCGACGTAACCGGTGCACGTGACTCCTCCGGGCGCGCGAGCGTCACTTTAGTGCCGTCATTATTGCGAATATGTGCATGGGGAAAACGTGACGTCTTTTCACCCTGACTTTCACGTCATCGATCACACCCCGCATGACTTGGCGCGGCCTCGCCGTTTTCTCGGGGGGGATAAAAATATTCCCAATCTTTCTTAGGCCTGCGTGAAGCTCCTTTTGCAGAAATATTCCTATCTACCCCTCTCGCGACGTCATGTCTGCTCGTTGCGTCACTCGGTTGAATGATAATACGTCACGGTTTCATCTTCTTCCTCCTGGGGAGTTTTTTTTTTTTTTAGATTCTTATTTCTCGACGATCCGCAAATTCCGCGTTTAGCTCTCGGCGCGCGAGGATGTGCGGCTCAAAGAGACGCGGCGAGACGCTCTAAGGGCGTTCACGCTTCGCGGGAGGTGGAGTTTACGCGATTACGCGGCGAGGCGCGCGTCCAAGTGGTGCGTAGGGCATGACTTTCAAAGGTTTTCTCCGGAGGAGACGACTTCCTCCTCCCCCCTCGGCGACGTCACGTGTCGTCCACGTAATCGTGGAGGAAAGAAAGGAGTAACGTTGTATAATCCGAGAAGGCGATCACAGACGGGGCCCACTCGTCTCTCTCCTTTTTTTTTTTAAATCCCTCTCGCCACCGAGGAGATATTATCGTCGCTTGTTATCGAGAGAGCGTGAAGGTCCTTCGCACCTCCGCGCGTCACGCAATTCAATCGGATCCTAATCGCGCGGCGAACCGTACTTCCAAGGTAGCCTCCGCTTGATAATGGCCTTTCACAAAGGTTCCAGTGCGCGGTGACATTTGCGTCCGCGTAATTATAGTCGTAACAGTCGAATTCGGTAGGCGTAGTCGCTGTTCGCAATTTTATCCTCCGCCGGATAAAATCGCGCACGTGGAAATCCCGCGTCGAGCGTTGACGGGGGGAAAAAAAACGAGAAACAAAGAGCCGATATCGCGCTACGACGGCGCGAAGCGTCGACCGATAAGAGAGTCGGGATAAGAGGAGCTGGGGACGTTTCCTCGTTTACGATGTGATTGATTGCGTCAGGAATCGATATGGGAGCTCTCTCTCTCGCCTTTTCTTTGGCAGCGAGCGTAATAATCGATCACCGAATGATCGTAAGAGACTTTGAGGGCGGTATTTTACAGCTGATCTGATCTTACATGTATGCTCGCCTTGAATCAGACGTTAATTGGTTTTAAGACTCCGTCCAGTCAGTGAAACGAACATCTCGAGATCGTCTTGACACGTTGACTGTCCTGTTGATCGGGTGCTGGCGAAATATTTTTCACCCTTTCGTCGCCGGATTATCTTTCAGTCTCAAATTTTCTGTTGACACAATGTTATTCAGTAATAGAACGCGCGGCGAGTCTTTGTAAATTTTCTATGTTGGACTTGCATGTCCCAGTGGTATGTGAAAGGGTTAAAAACACCCGTAAGAAATGAATGAACGACATAAAAATAGCTGGGTAACAATGTAGGGTAAAAACTGCGTCCCCTCCCTCTTTCTCTCTCAACTTGCTGTCTCCATGACGGCGTAATCTTATTTAATTATTGTACGCAATATTTTTTGTCACTGCATGTTTATGTAATGAAAGTTTTATCGTGCTGCAGTACATAGAGTGAAGGTCGTTACACACGAAAAAAAATTGAAACAATAAAACTTAAGGCACAAGCGAAGCGACGCAGTTAAGAACGTGAGCAGCCATTTTAAAACGTAAGAGAATTCTGTATGGTTGAAATTCACACGACGTAAGCTTTAAAGGCCCAAATACACTTGAATGAGCAGGCAGGAGGACTTAAGACTGAAAAATTTCACTCGGACTTTTCAGAGTTGCCCAAGTTTTAAAATGGCTGTTTATCTTGAGTTTACGATCGGGCTTTTATTATTTTACGTCTTGAGTTGTACTGCTTAAAATTTTTTTATGCGTGCGGCCTTTACCTCGCGCACACCACGATAAAACTTTTGTTGCATAATGAAAAAATATTGCGTAAAATAATTAAGCAGGATTACGTCCTCGTGGATTTCATGTTGAGAGAAAACAGCGGTCTTTACACTGATATTTTTATGTCGTCTATTCATTTCCATCACTGGTCGCTTCCTTCAAGTCGTAAATCTTACTGTTTAAGCTTTTTCGCGTGTTTGTCCCAGTCGACAGTGGACGATTTCGGCGCCAAGCTTTAAGAAATTGACCGATCGCAGCCGAAAGGGAGAAGAATACTCGACTGCGATTGGCCGATTTCTTAACTGGGGCTTTGACTGGGTCTACAATAGGCACAGCAAGTCGCGAAAATTCGACCAATGACAGGCGATTATTCTTCTCACATTTGGCTGCGATTGGTCGATTTCTCGCGACTTGCCGCCTCTACAGCACCAGTCTTTGATGTCATATGTCTTAAGTCGACGTGTGCCGTTGTCTGAAATCCTGACTGGCTCTCGTAAGCAATACAGTAGGCAAAATAGTATCGCGTCAGTTCTGTATCTTACAATATATTGTGAAAATGCTAAAAGTGAGCGGCTTTGTCTCTGTCTAAGGGGCCGGCGGGAAAGAGGCAAAGCCATTCACTTTAGCATTTTCACTATAGCGTAAGATACAGAATTGACACCCTTATTGGCTCTTGCAAGAAATCCAGTAGAAAAACTAGTATCGTGTTCCGTTGGCTTCAGTTTTTCCTCTGTGTCCCTTGGACACATATACACAGATCATACGTGCAGGCAACGTATTGAACGATAGTTGAAAGAAGCGAGCGGCATCCTCGGACCTCCGTGAACATTTTTCTGCGATTAACGCCGCGCGTTGAACGGTCCAGGCCGCGGATTTTCCGAGGCAACGGGGAAACGTTCCGGCGATCGACCGGAAGCCGCGTGGTTGAGAGGCACTGGGCAATACGTCACCGCGTATACACGGTTGCTGCACCTCCGCTGCCGGCGGTAACGAGAGGGCGAGAGGGGAAGAGAGAGAGAGGGAGAGAGAGAGAGAGATAGGAGAGGGGAAAAAGAGAAATTCTCGCGTAAGGGATGTCGGTGGTGAAAAGAAGGGGTCGCGTGTGGGGTGAGAGAGCGCGGAGCGGCCTGGCGCATGCGTTATTCCGCGGCGCTCCGGATAACCGTCGCCGACGACGCCGACGACGGCCAGTAATCGTCGTGACCCCCTTGCGACCACCACGTTGCATTCGGACGCACGGTACGGGCGACCCGATTCTCCTCCCCCCCCTGCCGTCCGTGCCCTCCCGCGTTCGTTCGATCGCGTCCTTGTTCGCGTGCGAGGCCAGCCAGCTAGCCAGCGGTTTTGCACGGCGACGTCGCTCCGTTCATCTCGACGACGACGACGACGCTCCTCCCGCGCCGGTGTCGCGCCAATCTCGCGCTATCGATTAACCCGACCGAGTGTGCCGGCAGTGATTTCGTCTAACCGGGGGGAGAGCCTTCTTGCCGCTCGACGAAGGCGGCCGATCTCGCGGGGGGTTCGTCCCCGCTCGCTGCGGCTCCCGCCGACATGCCCGCGATCTCGCCCGCGCCGTCCGGTGGCGGCCGCCGCTTCCGTCGCTGCTCACGGTAAATTTCGACTGTCAGCCGGGGGGATCGATCGACCGACCGGCGGGAGACACGGCCGACTTGTCGCCGCGCGACTCCTCGAAACGCCGCGCGCCGGAATAACAGCGCGCCACGACCGCCCGCGGCTAATTCGAGACGCCCGCGCGCCCGCGAGTTCCTAAAATTGTGGCGCGAGCCGCGGGACGCGGCACTGCTTCCCGGAGCTCCGCGGAGTCGCGCCAGCGCGCCCCGTCGGCCCCGTTACGCGCCTCGCGCCTCGATGACGTTTGTTTTACGTGTAGCGGCTGTTACGTTTGTTGTGTGTGCCACCGACGACGGCAGTGGTGGTGGTGGTGGTGGTGCCGCTGCTGCTGACGTCGTTGGCGTTACGGTACTTCCGCCCTCCGGTCCGTACCCCGTGGGTTAAGTTCCGGTTCTCGGCTTCCCGTGCGCCTCGTCCCGGAGCAAGTGCCCGCGGGGCACGGTTCTTGAATTCTCGTGCGATGCGCACGCGAAATTCTGGCCCTCGCGGAATAGTTGACGGTCGATCGGTTAGAAACCAACGCGAGTAGCCAATTTTTTTATTATTTTCCCCTCTACGGGGACCCCGTCAACCGTTAGGTCATTTAGCGTAAAGAAAAATTTCTTGTACCAGGAATATCGAACCCGAGCCTCCTGGGTGAGAGAGCCAAGGTACCCGCAACCTTTCTGCGAGAGCAGTATTTTCGCGTACGGTCTCGCCTTCGAGTGAATTCGAGAATCGAGCCCCTGGGAAGCCGCGCGTTTGCTCACGTAACGCCCGCCTCTCGGTAATTCGCCGATTTGCGACGCGAAAATCTCGCGGCGAGAGAGGGGGGGGAGATGTTCTCTCTCTCTCTCCCCCCCCCCCCTCCTTCTCTCTCCCTTTTTCCTCGGGACACTCTCCGATTCTCCGATAATCTGATTAAAGGGACGCGGTCGCGCTTTTTTCGCACGTAAATCGCTTACCCCCCCCCCCCCGCGGCCGCGTATACGCGGTCTATACTTGGCAGCCGATTCGCCAGTGCGCGACACGCGGCCTGTTCTATTATTGCAATGTCTTTGAAAGGTCGAGGCGCAATCCTGCCTTTAGAAATTATTCACGCGGAATCGCGGATTCGTGCGCGTTCCCCGTTGACATCGGTTCGAAAGATGCGCCAATGAGCGCGGGTTCTGCGTTTCCACGACTCGACGATAGCAAATTTACAAATTGACGTCTATAGTTGCGCATCGAGCCGGCCAATTACGGCTAATTAGTAATGATTACAGTCACAATAGTTGCATTCGTTAACGATGATAATTGTGAACGTTTTACCTGAAATTATAATTTCTCTAATAATTTCCCGATAATTTGTATCGATTCATCTCTACGGCGAAATATTCGGTTACGGGGTAAAAATGATATTGCTATGTGAAAATTCTTGTTCGCAAATAACGCGTTGCCGCGCAAAGCGAACACGTAAAGTTAATATCGATTGGGTATATTTTTTATTTATCAACCTCAATTTGTTAATCTGCTATAATTGAACGGCAAGTAGGATCTTCGTCAAAGTGTTTTCTTCCGCGGGGGAAACCGCTTGAGGGCATTGTGTACAGATTTGCGGTGTTACTGGGCATTGCTAGGGCATTTTTGGGGCATCATAAGAATAAAATAAGATAAAGTAATGCCCACTGGGTACAAGATTTTGGTCAGTTTTTTTTCCTATGTCGCGCAACACCGGCAAACCATTCATGTTTCGTCCGCATCGATTTTTCAGGGTGGCTATCCGGCAAAATTAAAGAAGGTCCTGATAGTGACGGCGCCGTTGTGGTTCAAGGCGCCCTTCAAGATCCTTCGATTGTTCGTTCGCGAAAAGCTGAGGGACCGAGTGTTCACGGTATCCATCCCTCAGCTGACGTTGCATATCCCACGAGAATCATTGCCACATCGTTTAGGCGGCACGTTGGAGGTACAGCATGAAGCATGGCTGCTACATTGTCTTAAATCCATGACGAACCGAAGCGGGGGTGAACTGTGCGAGGTTAGTGCTCGATGCAACTTCGGACACGCCGTCGTTATTTTTGCCCGTGGTAACGCGCGAATATCGGAGGGGTTCGAGAGATAAAAAATTCCGGCATGTTGAAACTTTTATTTTTGGATATAGCGACGGCGGTAGTGAAAATATTTTATTCACAGAACCATTTTGTTATTAATGGAACGCTATGAAATGGCAAACAGCCTTCACGTGTATATTTATGGCATTTCAGGTCACCCCGAGAGTAGGCACACCTGTGTCGCCCACGGCGAACGATAACGCGGTTCATCAGAATCCGAATGGAACTACAACGCACAGTAGTTCGACTAGTCCTGTAATCGATAAGAGCAAACAAGTGAAAAATGGTGTGTCGAATATCGGCGACATCGAGATCACCACCGCGAACGCTGACGCCTGGATTGGAACCGACGAGGCGCCATCCCCAGTACAGCCTCCGTCCTCAGCTAGTTCTGGTTTTAGCGACGACGACAGTCTTCACGGCGATCCTGGGCTTCAGGCCGTCACCATGGAGCAATTTATAGCGGACATACATTCGCGAGGACGCGCCGGTCTCATAGCAGAGTACGCGGAAATTAGACAGAGACCGCCGGAAGGTTCATTTAATAATGCAAAGTGCGTAACAGCAATATCTTGCGTTTCCGCGATACGTTAGCTCCCCCCCCCCATTCGAGTTAATTAATATATCGTTGTGTCGGTCGTTCCAGGTTAAGGTCTAATCAATCAAAGAATCGCTACACCGATGTGCTTTGTTACGACCACAGCAGAGTCTGCCTTTCGCAAATAGACGGAGACGCGACGTCCGATTACATAAATGCGAACTTCGTCGACGGTTACAAGCAGAAGAACGCGTTTATCAGTACTCAGGGTCCTCTTCCGAAAACCTGCGGTGATTTCTGGAGGATGGTTTGGGAACAGCAGACGTTAGTCATCGTTATGACTACGAGGTAGATTGTCTTACTCGTGCGCTCTTGGGCAACTTTTACTTGCATGATACAAAGTTTTGAACAATTCCGGCCATATTTTGCGTCAGAAACTTTAAACGTGACTTTATGGCTTCACGTAATGTATCCTTGTTCCAGAGTGGTGGAGAGAGGGCGTACGAAGTGTGCACAGTACTGGGGCCCGGAACCAGGTGACGAAGTACAAGCAGGTGGCTTCACTGTGACCACCCTCGAGGTCGATACGAATCCAGATTACACAATATCCATGCTTCTCCTTACAAACAATAAGGTATGTACTTCTGCACACTTGTTCTCTCTCGATTATCAAATGTCATCGTTTCCTCACGTTCCATTTGTCCCGTTTCAGACTGATGAGACGAGAGAGGTTTGCCATATGCTGTACACAGTGTGGCCGGACTACGGCGTTCCTCAATCGGCGAAAGCTTTACTACAGTTCTTGTCCTTAGTCAGGCAACAGCAGAGCAAATTACTCGCTAGCAGAGGAGACACATGGGCCGGGCATCCACGAGGACCACCTATAGTCGTACATTGCAGCGCTGGCATCGGAAGAACAGGTAGATAGATGCTTCTTGCAACGAAAATTGTAATCTAATGGCCGGTACCGTTCTTTCCCGCTGACGCAAAAGTTTACGCGTGAGATATACATTAAATTGGCGGGTTTCCAGGCACATTTTGCACCTTGGACATTTGCATATCGCGACTGGAGGACACTGGGACCGTAGACATACGAGGAACCGTCGAGAAGATCCGAGCACAGAGGGCCTACAGTATTCAAATGCCAGACCAGTATGTCTTTTGCCATTGTGCTTTGGCGGAATACGCACTTTCCAAAGGGATGCTCAGTGCGCAGCATCTCTCCATGTTACCTCCATCGATCGAAGAGGATTCTGACTAAGAGAGTAACGAGTTCTGCTACCATATACCGGATTAATGTTCTTCCCGAGTATGCGTATATATATACTATCCTTAAAATAGCCTATTTCTACCTTAAACGACTGAAAGTTATTTTTTGCTATCGTATCCATCGATGTAATGATTGAACTTCTCGCTAATTACGTCAGTCTTAAATTTCCTATGAAGCCGAATTGGTCTTTTTCTTTCAATGTCGAATAAGCGGACAGGGAATATTCCACATTCCTGTTCTTCGTGCTCTGGCAAATTTTTATGTAAAGGTGCATCAAAAGGCACTGATCAAAGATAGATATTTTACTAGCATAAGAATTTGGCACAAACATTTTTATAGATCCAACGTTAACTCTCTCGAATGTAAATTACAACTCAAATTCTGTAAGATTTAAGCTGTTGCGAAATGGAATCTAATCACAAAATAAGAAATCTTTAATATTGTTGCGTCCGGGAACCATTCGCGTTTCGCGCTAGCAACGTTCGTCGTCAAGGGAGTGCTCCAATTTCCTCGATCACATCTAAATTCAGTCGGTTCCGCAGGACCGTGTCAGCGCGGACACAACAATATAGTCTAAATAATTTAATTTAATTTATGAAATAATGACGCGATAAATTTTTTCACTTTCGGTCGTTATTGAAAAGGACCACATGAGTTGGTCGAAACGTTTGATATTGTTAATTTCAAATAAATAATATAAATTTGTTATATCCGCACCTAATATCTAGCGTCTGGCTCTTATTGCTCCCTACATTGCGTTCTTTTAATTAATGTTTGATAATACATAGAGCCTTAGAAAAATCATTGTTTTACTATCTTAATAATTTATAATTTATTATAATCGATGAAGTATATAAGATAACACGCCTGGCAAGCGTGACGTTTCAATCCCTTCCAGAAAAACCATGTCGACAGATGTGGGGGTTCTTGGAAGAGGCCTACGCCCACGAGTGGACGGAAATAGGCTGAGAAAGGAAGGAATAATAGGAATCGATGATTTATAATTTTCTATTTTGTAACAATTATATGGAAATTTATGTACGAGATTTAAACAACATTTGAGAGAGTTGAATTGCCGATCTTGCTAAAAGAGAAGGAATCGATATATATATATATAAATATATATATAAAACTTTAAAAATATATGAAAAATATAAATGTGATTATATACATTATATAGTTCACAAATTATTACAAATGTGGTTTGACAGTGGCTATGATATAGCCACAATTATTTAAGATTTTGAGATTTAGAAGTATTATAAAATACGATAAAAACGGCTTCTGCCTTACGGAAATGTAGATTATTCTAGAAAGTAATCGACATATTGATAGATGTTTTTGGGTAACCAAAGATTATCTGCTGCACAAATTTAGAGAACCGGGAATTTCTAAGTGTACGTAAAATTTGGTTATATATACAATCGCGCGGGGAAAATTCCGTTTTACAGGGATTAATAATCAGGGATCAGATTGTAGATTAAATAATTTCCGACGCGACAAAAAAAACTGACGAAGCCTAAACAAGTGCAAGGCTTTAAAAATTACATTAAGCCTTTACTTTAGTCGAGTAAACTTCGCGTTCATCCGATAACTATATGTATGCGTATACACAGTATATGTTTAGAAATACATATATACATATACGCATATACATGGTTACACATATACATATATATATACATATACGCTTCATTATGAAAATCGTTACGATTAAAAATCGTATATACGTGCAAGCATCAAACGTTTAAAGACATTTTAAAATCTAGGCGTAAAAAATCTTAACACACACGGCGACTAATGTAAATTTTACCCTCAACGGATATTACAATTTAATAACAATTAAAGAAAAGCGGGCAACTGACGGAATACAGACAAAAAGTTTAGACATTCTAGATACGCGATATAAATACAAACTGACTTTGTATGTAATTGTGAAATAATTATATCTTCAAATATATCTCATATTTCCAAGGTATTGCGAGATGCGCACCTTGGGTTCGGTGCGACGTTTAGCCTCCCAATGTCATCAAGAAGCACGGCAAAGAGTTTCAAACATTGCTGCTTTCGAAATCTCTTGAATTGCCTTTCGATTATGATTATTACGAATTTTCAGTGTGTACGTGTAACCTTGGATATATGTTAATACCGTTGTGTCCGATCTGTGTTACTCGTGTCCAATAATTACTCGAATCGTTTATCCGTTGACTGTGTGCGGGACCTCTGCAAGGAAACTGCGATGTGACGAGTTTCCTTGCACCGGTCGCTCGATGTCTGATGAATTATGAACTTTATCGTGGGCTATTATGATATTAGTATTGTAAAGCATTGTGATAGTCGGTAGAAGTCTCCGAAAATTCGTATCTCTATTCTTCCAAGTACTGCCATTGCCAACTACGCTAATTTCTATTTCTAATCACGCTGAGCTAAATTTTTCGCGGCATAATCACGGTGCGGTCCCAAGCCGCCGTAAAAAAAAAAATATATATATATATATATGATATATATCTACTAACTGATTTGTAATAATTTATTAATATTGTGTTAAGACACGGTATCTATAGTGGTGTATTTGGCATCAGAGCGATGAACATGTGTAGGATGCGGAATCCCTTGATTTTTCTGTTTTTCACAAGTACAAGGTACTCGGAAAGAATGCGGCTTCAACGCGTTGCAGCGAGAAACGTTTGCGGGTGGCCAGTCGCGAGCGTGCCCGCTCGGTTTCCCGCAAAGTCTTTCGCTGTGGCGTTTTGCGAGGACGAATTTCCTGTGCGATTCTGTAGTTTCACGCAGAGGCGTCGTTTAAGGTTTCAATTTTGGCCGGGCGAACGGTAAAGAACTGTTGAAGACGTCTTCGAATTTTATACAAAACACGTAGGCGCTGTTGTACCGCGAGGAAGCTTAGTCACGTTTAAATAAGTTAACGATACTTGAACGTAATATTTATAAGTTCCTCCTACCCTTAGGTTACCTACAAAGGGCATATTACCGATATTGATTATCGTTTATTACGTTTACGTAATCTATTATTATAATAATCAGCATTATCCTTTTTTTTGTATTTATCCTAGCTATTTATTGTATCAATTGGTTAAAATCTCCATGTGATGTATATATACGCACATAATTATCATGTATTTCTCAATCTCCATTCTTAACAGTGGCATTCGTTTAGCGTTCTCTTTCTTTTCGTCTTTTTCTTTCGGAGAGAGTCTCTTGTACGAAGCGCGAGAGATAGAAATCTAATTTGGCGTTCGACCGTCTCGATTAAGTGTGAATGTACAGTGCGATTTGATAATTATTCTTGCGTGTGCCTCCCTCGCATCGTAATGTGTTGCAAGCGACGAAACCCGTACGTCGATGAAGGCCGGGGGTACCAAAGTCTCTCGCAAACGGATTCACGGACGGGACGATTAATTAACGCGGAGTAAACCAAGTGTAATTGTACTGTAATACGCGAACGCGCTCGAGTGCGTGTGTTAAGCTTTGGAACTGAGGGTAGGTAGTCTAAAGTAATCGACTCAACAGTATTATACCTCATTAAATGTTCGCGATTCTTCTCTTCTCGCCAAATCGATTTTCTTTGCCGGCGTAAGTACGCCGGGCAGTTGGGATTTATCGTCCACCTTTCCCTTCGAATGCAAATAGATGACGCGAGCGGGATGCGACTTGATCGATCATCGCGATAAAAAAAAAGTTCAAGGGGGAAAAAAGTTTATATTCAAAGGGGACGGGTATAAGAGGAAGATCTCTGTGCTAATAATATGCAAATGATACGCGAGTGGTGGACCGTAACTCCTCCAACTTCCGACGCACTTTCATTCCTTCGACGCGATTTTCAGTTGCGAACTTGTACCATCGTTGCTGCGTCTTGCGATTCGTTTCGGTAATTTGCACCTGTAACTCGCTATTTGTAGACCTTGACCATTCGTCACCGATGTTACACGTCTCTATATCGAGGTGTTTGATGAAGGCGGTTGATACAATCGATTAATTATTTAATGCGATAGACGCCCACTTTTGTATGACAATTAATTCGAGGAAGCGATGCGCAAAGCGGAAGGAGCTGCAATAGAGGAAGCCAGTGTTTTATGTGTATATCTGGTATATGCAACACGTGTCATAATAATTAAGGTTCTCACGAGGTGAAGAAAAAGATTGTTAAAATATTACGAAAATGGAGAAAGTAACGTAAAGAAGAGAGAGGGGGGAAAAAGTGTATATAAAAACGATATTACTTTAAATTACTATCGCACACATGATTGTATCTAATTAATAATTATTTAATATATTGCAAATATAAATGGTACAAATTCTGGCGTTTTACTGTTATTTACACATCGTTTACAATTTGGTAAGAATCCCAGATATGTAAATGCGTTTGTTGCTCTCCACAGACATTCGTATCATTTATAGCGTTACCATCGATTGACGAAGAGTCCATTTTTTAAATTAAATAAGGACTCGACAATGAAAGGTAACTAATGTAAAGTTACAAAGAAAACCTTAAAAGTACAACGCGAATATAAATCAATTAAGAAAAGAGCAATTGTTATCAACTTGCATTTCCAAACACGTGCCTTTGCGCGCACACGTGTACAATTCTATTGTTAGAATCTAGCTTTTAGAATCCGATCTTTCGAATCTCACAATCTTCTCAAGTCCAACTTCTCTACCAGTTTAGATTAGTGAAAGTTCAAGGGTGTGTTTCCCCTCGCTATTACTGAATTCGGAGCAAATCGTTCGCAAATGTAACGGTATCCTTCGTAATGACATAGCAGTTATACTTTTCTTAACGCAACCATCCACACCTTTTCTTTGAGACTGAATATTCGGAACTGTTGGGAGTACAGTAGTGCCGAGAGGAAACGGGAACACGCCAAAAATTGGCAAGTCCGACTCGCGGTTTGAATATTCGACCGTTTTCGCGCGCGTGACAGTGAATATTACTGCGCAGCCGCAGAAGAGAGGAAGGCGCTACTACCAGCTCTCAGGTTTCTATCTGCCGCTAG